AGCTGCAAGAGTCAAGTTTGATTTCCAGGCTCAGTCACCCAGGTGAAATATATACCTAGATAAATCAAAGAAAACTTCTCCTTTCAATGTAATCACTTGAAGTTTGCATGTAAACTTAGGGGTCAAATTTGCGGTCTAAATTACTTTCACAATACCAATTTGTAATAATTGTTCAACCTTTTGAGTTGCATTTCAAAAAATCACCTTCTTCTTGTGTTGTGCTGTGTTCAGGGAGCTCACGCTGCAGAAAGGCGACATTGTTTACATCCACAGGCAGGTAGACGCCAACTGGTTTGAAGGGGAGCATCATGGGAGAGCTGGCATTTTCCCAACTTCTTATGTGGAGGTGAATTTCTTCCTAATGTCTTTTACTTTTTCAGATAAACTCAAAGGGTGCTGCACATGTATTGTATGTGATTTACCAACAAAAAGTAGTGCATAATTGTGAAGTGAAGGAAGTTTCCTTGTGTCTGTGCTTCGTAGAACAACCTTTTGCTACAGGTAAAATGCAGGTCCTTTAGATTATATTGCTAGTTTTACACATGTTGACGCTGAAAGGTTTAGCGTCAATATTACTGGTAATATAGAGGAAGTTTAATCTGACTGAAGGTGTATTTTTCAAACTTTGCCACAAATTATCATCTGGATTTAGGTCTGGACTTTGACTGGACCATAAGACCTTGAAATCTATGTAGCAGTATCTGAGTAAAGGGGCTGAACACATAAGCATGCCAAATCTTTCAGATTACAACACTTAAAACACAAAAATAAATAAAACTCTGCATATTATTCCCTCAAGTTTACAGATACACATTCTATTGTGTTGATCCATCACATAAAATACCAATAAGGCACGCTGAAGTTTAACAAAATGTGAAAAAACCCTTAAGGGATATATGAAAACTTTTGTAAAGTAATTGTAATTGTAAATTTTATACATCCGTAATAACTCTTTTTTTTATTTTTATTTCAGGTTCTACCTCCCACAGAGAAGCCGACACCAATCAAGTCTCCTACTCTCCAGGTGTTGGAGTATGGAGAAGCTCTAGCTCTATATAACTTCAATGCTGACCTTCCTGTTGAGCTTTCCTTTCGCAAAGTGAGTGGTTCACCTTGACAATTTTCATTACTGTAGAAAAAAAGACATCAAAACAAAAAACTTTAAAGTAGGACTAAGCAGACTGATAGTTTGGCTGTTAAAATATTTGGAATTTATAATAAAAACTGCACCTCCGAATGACCAAAACATTATATATGAAGTAACATTTCCTAATTTTGTTTCCTTTCCCCGGCAGGGCGAGGTGATCTGCATAACCAGGCAAGTTGACGATAAGTGGTTGGAGGGCAGGATCTCTGGAACGAATCGAAGCGGCATCTTCCCGGCCAGTTACGTCCAGGTCAACAAGATGCCCCGCACCAAATACTCCACGGATGACTTCTCAGCGGGCCCCATGTCTCCTGGACCGCAGAGTCCGGGGCGTCCGCTCTACTCCCCGTCCCCGCGGTCACCACTGATTCCCTTCACGCCCCCTTCCCTCAGCCCCAAACTTGAGCACTCCCCTCTGAAACCGTCGTCACCTGTCCCGTATGGCGGCCCGGGCTCACAGTCACGCTCCCCCAACCAGACACTGTCACACCATCGACTTCCCCAACGCACCCCGAGTACTCCTTCTCCCACCAACCAGAACAGCAACCTGGTTGCAGCACCCTCCACCTTTAGAGCAGTTTCACCTTCTTCTCAGTCTTCAGCGCCCGTGCACAGAGCGGCAGCTCCTTCAGTGAGCACTCCCAGATACACTGGTCCCTCACAGGTCTGCTCTCACCACCGCCTTCAAATATCACAGCATGCCCACACCTGTGTGCTTTCCTAGCTTGTGTAGATACAGCAATATTTATGATGTCACTTTAACTGATGTGAAAATTGTTCCCCCCCCCCAGGGTGCAATACCAAGCCTGTACGCTCCCTCGAATGCGCATGTCAACTCTCAGAGCAATCCTGGTTCAATAATGGGGCAACGTCGACCGTACGTCTGTTTTTTTTAGCTTTGCTGCAGATCAGATGGGTTATGTGAAACCATTTGGATTAATTTTGTCTGTCTTTCGAACTGTAGGTATAAAGCTGTTTACAACTACAAACCCCAGAATGCTGACGAGCTGGAGCTCAGAGAAGGGGACATTGTGCAAGTGATAGAAAAATGTGATGACGGCTGGTTTGTAGGTAACAGACTTTCTATTTTTACCATCATTAAACGACGCTGTGAGCTAACTAACCCATGAGTCTCCAGGCACACTTGTCCTTGAAAATATGCAGGATATGATGTACATAGGTCAGACCAAATAAAGCACAAATACCAGTTTCCTGGAGGAAAAGAAAAAGATCTCAATTGCACCACCTAGTGTTCGAGTTCTATAATGCGACACATTTATTACATTGAGAGTGCCTCTTGGATTCTTTTGCTCAGTGTTTTAAAAGGCTAAATTCCAGAATAAAGATTGCAAAAACTTTTCCTTGTTGTATATATTTTTATAAATTGTGCACTAAATAGTCTAATCTTCAACAAGTTATTGAAAATTGCACTTTAAATTATACTATTTTACCCCTTGCTTAAAAAAGAAGACACAGTTGATGACTAAGCAGCTCACATACATATCATCTAGATGAACCAATACCTACAGAAAGTGGAGCGTTATCTTTACGAAGCACAGAAGAGCAGCGATGTCCATGTTCATGCATCCTTATGGCAACATTATTTACTTGTCGGTTAGCACTTGTCTGCAGAATCATTGCTATATTTTCAATTATATTTCACTTTTTTTTTTTTACCAGTGTCAATTTGCAAGAAGTAACTTTAAAACAACACAAACGACAGAACATTAAACAACAAATGTGAAGCGTTTTTATGTGAGAGCCCCCTCTTCTGAACATAACAAGACATTAAATGCTTCTTTATTACAAATTTATCATGCATCAACAATCCTTCTTTGTTTCTGTGTTGTGACCTTATGTATGCACTGTACTCTCTGCAGGTACGTCAGAACGGACTCATACTTTTGGGACTTTTCCTGGGAATTACGTGACACCAGTCTGACTTCCTCACTCGCTGCTTGCCAATACTCAGTGGGACTGATGAGCATAGCTAATGAACATTTCCTTGTCCCGTTTACTGCTTATGTTTTGTGGAGTTTGCATGTGCACTCTGTTTTCCAGAAGAGAAGGGAGGGACACCGTGTGGTTTCTCTCTTCACTGTCCTGCATGTGTGAGCACATACTGAATGCGAGCGTGTGTTGCACAGTGATTTCAGGAGCCTTTAGAGCAACACTGACGTGACTGATTCTTATGCACAAAACGAACATTTTAGTTTCCTTATTCCACAATTTTTTGCAGCTGCAGGAAATTTGCATTCCTTCCCACTGAACAGCACAATTCCCTCTGAGGTCCTTAAACAGCACACTGCTGCACTCAGCCTTTTGTCACCACAGTGCCTACACAAACCGCAACTGGGATGTAAAAACAAAGATAGAGAGTTTTGTAGCGTTTTCCTGAGTTATTAATATTTCTTTCACATATTTTCCCCCCAGATTTTCTTTCAGATGTCTGAAATAACTGCAGCAGTTTTCGAAGAAACATCACAAACAACCTTAGGACAGTAAGGGCTTTGACATACTGTCATCTGTATACTGCCTGTGAATGAATCACACCAAGTCTATGGTGTAGTTCATGCACTAGTTTATTTGATTACAGTAAAGTGCTAGGCTGTTGTTTTCTGCCTGATAATGAAAAGTAAAAGCCTCCATCATATTCTCTGCTTTCAAATTAATTTTCATATATGCTACAGCTGCAGCTGTGTTTAAGAGGTTGGATCAAGAATGCTCTGATGGTTAAATTATCCTTTGAAGTGCTAAATTTAACGCTGTATGTGAAGTGCCAAAAGTAGCTGAGGACGACATGCATCTGTTCAGATGTCCACGAAACATTCCCAGCTCACTGTCTGCTATGTTTGCAACAGCTGCTTTTGTGATATTTTTCTTTTATGTTTTTACATTGTTATTTGAAAGCAGTATTCAAGAAAATCATCTGTTTTTGGTTCAAGTGTAACTTGATAAGTTTATAAGACTTTATCTAAAAAAAGTCTCATATTTAAGTGAAAGTTTCACTGTAAAAAATGATTTTCATTTACTAGCCACATGAGATGATTGTACAGATTGTAACAGTTTGTAAAACTGAAAGGATAATATATATTTGCTTATAAGGAACAGTGTATTGCATATATATGGTACGCAATTTATATTAAAGTTGATTAAATATCACAGTGATAAAAAGCGACTGGTGTTCACTTATTCATTTTGTATGTTTTGGTAATATTGCTGATCGTTTGTTATAGACAAGAAGATCAATGAAAGTTCAAGCCTGATTTCTTATTCTTTATTCTTGGACAATACAATTTTGATTTAAATCAAAATAAAACTGCATCACAAGTTCGTGGAGCAACACATTTACTTAGAAAAGCATACCAACAACTTAGAATAAATATTTTTCAAGGTAAGGCTGTCGTTTTATGGAAATCATTCAGCTGTGGGATTTTTATTGGTTTTCTGGGTGATTCACTCTAAGATTACATAACATGATCCATGTAGATTATAGGGACATTGTGCAATTTAAGTTCACAGGTAGGTTTGGCTGTGGAGTGATCACACAGCCCAACCATGAATCAACATTAAGGCACCTTTGATCAAGATGTCATCAGTGCTTTTATTTGCAGTGACCTTTAAATCATCAACGTGGGAGTGTCTTGCTATTTCAACTCTTCTTATTTCACATTTCAAACTCAGATTTCTAATGTCCCTCATAGAGCTGCTCAAACTCAATTAACCTGTCTCCTGTTGCACGTCCCACTTTTCGTCAGTAGGAGGCGCGTGGACACAGCGCAGTTGGTTTTGGATCAATAGCTCAATCTGCCGTGTGCTCTGTGGTAAGACACGCCCCTTACTTTCAGCTTGTGTCAACCTTTTTTATTTTGGTAAAGGCACATGGCATCGCGAGTTTATCCTGGTTATACCGCAGAGCGCGCGCTCACAGCTGGCATTCTCGCGTGCCTTCTAAACCTTCCACACGACTTGCTGAGAAGCGGCAGCGGCTTTCCGGTGTTTTAAAAGCTGCTCTTATTCTCTTTTTTTAAATAACTATTGGTGACAGTGTCTGCCAGACTGCAGCATCTAACCGTGCTGACTCCTGGCTGTAGAAGGTTTTTTTTTTGTTGCTCAGAAATAACATAACACAGGTGGAGGAGAAGACAGACTTAATTGCACCGCATTTAACTTGGTAAGTAGCTCCGCTATTCCCATCTACATATATTTTGTTTGACACAGCTCACTTGTGGGAGTTCACATTACAGCATACAGCTTTGTGTAACAAGTAGCGTGGGTTTAATTTAATGATGAGCAGGATACCTAGATTTATAGTCGAGTTGAAGCCTTCGGGGCTTATAAAAGTTAGAATTCACAATAAGTGAGACGATAAATTGTACTGAAGTAATAAATGACAACAGAAAAAATTTTTACAAAATTATTTCTACATCTGATTAAAAACATTGAAGGTTGACAAAAGAGCTGTGGGATTTGGTGAAACAATAGAATTAAAAGTAAAAGTAAGTACTCAAACCATTTATGATCTATATACAAGTCAACAACAGTATTTGATTTTATACAAATCATTTGGTAAATACAATTCACATTCTTTGATGGTACATGAGGAAAGTCTTTTGAAGTCGATCATTTTTAGTGGGTCTTCCTCTAACAAGCAAAACATTTACCTTGAAAAGTCTCATAGTCCTTGAAATGTCTCTACTAGCCTCGACATCCGATCTTGAACTCAAGAGGCTTTACCCAAAATGTTCACTCCTCCTCTCACTTTTGTCACCATGCTCTTGGTCTTGTGCTGACATATGGTAGATTCCAACTCTGTCTTGTTCCACCGTTTGGCATTGTGTTTAATCTGACATAATGCCTGGCTGCCCATGAGCAAGTTTCATTGTACTACTCATAATAGCTACTTAAGGTATTGTGCATGCTCAGGTCAAAGGGCAGGTAAAACTGAACATTAAATTGACACTTTAATGTCGCACTAAGCATTGCATCGAAAGGAAAACGGCTGATTGAGCAAAGTGCTCTCAAAGGTGTGTGTTGGTGTAGAGGAGGCCGTGTAAATATGATGTGGCCAGATGTTTTAAAACTTTAAAAGCCCACAATTGAACAAATCAATGAGAAAAACAAAAAAGAAAGGTCGTCAGTGGTGAGATTTGAAGAAACTGATGTGTGTTGATGCCTTTCCTGTTTCTGTCCAGAAGGTTTTTTTCATTAGGTATTCAGTTTGATTTGTGATGGAACGGCACCAGGTGCAAGCCTCTGAAGCTCTCAGACACATTACATCAGTCCAGCAGCTGTTTCTGTTACCCTCCTAACCTTTAAAGTTGCCTGTTGAACGGTAATGATGTGCTTTCATGCTTCATTTTTGAAAAGTCAGCCTTTCAGTGCTGCATTTCTTCCCTATTTTTTCGTTAAATGTCTGGATAGGCATGCTCCTCTCCTGCTGCACTTCACAGAAGGTCTTTAGAAATAACTGGACCTGACTGCGAGCTCAGCAGATGGAAAACTACTTGAGGGGTTTCAGAGCACAGCCCCGAACAGTCACAGTAATTCAGCCTTGTTCTCAATACTCCTGTGATTGCAATTTGAATATGTTTTCCATTGTGTCTGGCGGTCTTTCATCTCCGTGTTTTACCTACCCTGCTCTTGCTCTTTGTGTTGGTTTTACTGACAGCTTGGTGCTGCGCTTGCTAGACGAAAACTGGTTAAAGTCATCCAAAACCAAAGGCAGTTGCATTATAATTTTGGGTAGAAAAAAAACAGAGGCTTTTCAGGAAAACATGTAGAAGTTGATGAAAAGATGTCTTTTTGTTTTTCAGTTGTGGTCCCCTAAAGCGAAGTAAATATTTGAAGACATTTTTAGATGAGCATTTTCTTGTGCTGTGTTCCGTAACACATATACAACGAAAGCAAGGTCTGCATGTTTCTCGTCAGCAGGAAGTCTGTGTTTTAGTTTCAGCAGACGGGTTTTGACTCTTGCTTTCATTTCAAGTTTTGTGCAAAGTTTCAGAGTCATACTTGGCACAAAAAAAATGAAAAACGAATGCTCAGCGAACATTGGCAATGAATCTGGAAACATAAAGTTGCAGCTGTGTATTTTGAGGATGCAGTGAAATGAACAAAGTTCTTCTTACAAAAAAGGCAACAATGCGTGTTGAGGATGTGGTGAGCTGCTCCAATTATGAAACAGTCGAGGCTGTTGTCTGATTTCCTTAGCAAGAACAGTGGCATCAAGATCTTCAAATGCGATACCAGGAGTTTTGAAGGGAGTACAAATCGTCTTTTTATCTTTATCAAGTACTGCTTCAAAGTCCACTGTTGCGGTGCTTCATGTAATGCTTTTATAGACCAGACTGCTAAAGATGAGCCTCCACCCTTGAAGTTTTCTCCCTCGAAAAGGGAGTAACCCACAAAAATTACAGGTATGTTTCAGCTTATTATTAATGTGCTGACACATAAGCAATTAAACATGGCGACATTAAACACAAAGGATAATGAACATACTCCCCTTTTTGACATCACAAGCCTTGTTGTTGTTTGATGTTTTCTCATCTCCTTGGGGACTGCAGCTATATCTGACCAAATGGGTGTGATTTGGTGAATATGTGGGAAGTTTTTTTTCCCCTTTTCTCTGCCCAGGGAGAGGCTTTGCTTCTGCATTCCTCTCCTTTTTGTTCACAGGGTGTGAGTTCAGGTATAGTTGGTTGAGCTGTCGGTGCAGTGCACAACACCCAAGTTGGAGTCGGCAAGAGATGTCATTTCTAAAGTGGTTTTGTGGAAAGTTCACACTTTGTGAAAGACAAACAGAGAGGGAGAGCCTAAACAAGTTTCTGTGATTCATGTTGAGAATATTTCCCCTGAAGCTACAGTGGTTCATCTAAGTGTTAGTCCACAACAGAGCTCTAAGTTACATTGTCTCTTCTGTTCATCTGATGCTATTTCAGTTTTGGGGAGCCAGTTAAGTATATTTTCACCCAAACTTTAAAGGGATAGGGCTGAGATTATTTTTTAGTGGGGCTTTGGGTCAAAGTATGTAGTCGATAACATCTTGGGAATCTTCATTTAGTATAAGTCCAAATTGGCTAGTCTGATATCTTCCTTTAAATTGCTACAAAATTTTGCTTCCCTTTTTATATTGCAGTTATCATGCAAGATACCCATTTACAAGCATTGACAATACTGCGACAAGCTAACTTTTATAAGATACTAATGTTAGCATCTGATCCAGAGCTTGATGTTGGCACTAATCTTTACCCCTAACAAAAATAAGATTTTTATTTTTATGCAAAATTTCTCATCTAGCTACTAAAATGCACAATCTCTTTAGCCTGATGTTGCGTGACTGGCTAATATCTTACCTGCTGTGGATGACTTTCTTGGTATTTTGTTTTGTATAAATCCAGATTAGTTGGTCAATTAAATAATTGCATAATCCCAGAGCGAAAGTAAGTAGAAGATGAAGTTAACAGTTAGCTAATAGTTGGATCCAACCAGATTTCTACTGTCTTACAACAACAACAACAACAACAACAAACTCCATAATGTCTCATTTATGTGAATGCCATTTTAAAAACCTCTGAACATTAGACTTGTTTGCATTGTGCAGTTATTTACTCAAAGGTTGATGGTTGCTTATGGATTAACTGAATGTGGGAGGTTTTGCACCACCAGTGATTCAGAGAACCGAACATGTAAACATGTTCCAGTCAGAAACTGTCTGAGATAAAAGGTGGAAATGTAAATAATCACAAGCTTGCCAATTTAAACATAAAAACTCTATGGCACAAAAATAGTGCTTGCATAAACCACTAACGTATTTGATTCTGGATTTGTTATAAGTCTGCTATGGTCTCATCCCATGGGACCACTGTTGGCTCAGGCAAAAGGGACCAATGAATGTGGATTTAGACTAAATAAGGAGTTCCTCACTGCAGGTAAGCTATTAATTTCCCAAAACATTTGTAATAGAACCTATCTTCTAAAATCCTAACGCGTCCCTTCAAGGACAGGGGAGGGAAAGTTTTAGTTAAGCAAAAGAAATGTTGGTCAGGTGGGCCAGGAGTTTTATTGATCTAATTAACATTTTAGCGGAGTACAAAGTTCCAGTTAAAGCGCATTTGGAAGCAACTTATTTTTCCAAATTTCATTCCTGTTTAAAAATTAGGTGCTAATCTAGCAAGTTGGCATTGTTAAATGCAATGATTTGAATTGTTTCCCGTGATGTTTACTATTATATTTACGGCCTGACTTTTTGCAGTGATTCGCTGCTTAAGCTCATTCTTTCCAGCTTTAAACACAAATTTACATGTAAACATAAAGAATGGTTGCCATGCTAAACAGAGTTACTGACTCATCGAAGGCTAGTCATTTTGCTTCACTCCAGTCAGCTACATGCACAGTTTCAGACTTGTGTGCACAGGCATCAATTATTCAGCTTGAATAACCCATAAGTACAGAGGTTAAATGTTGATGATTGCATGCTAGATATTATGTGTCTGTGTGGTAATGCTTGCATGCACCTATTGTTACAAGAAAAAGATATCTACAGAAAACGATGTACTGCGGTCAGTCTAGATTTTCATTCAGTACATATTGCTCCACATAATAAAATGAGTTTATTTCTTACAAATTATTTTATTAAATGTGGGACACAAATGTTTTTTTTTTTTTTGGGTGCGCTGTCTAGTTTTTCTGCATATCGTAGTGGTGAGTATTGAGTTGAATGCAATGCTGTCTTGTCATATCATCTTTCTGTTTGTGCCTTTAGGGATAAGCTTTCAGACATGCGAAGTGTCAAAGAGTCTTTAACATATTGCATATGAACATGACATGCTTGAACTTTACCCAAAGAAGAAGAAGAATGTCCCTGTGAAAATTAACAGATTGAAAAAAGACAAAGTAAAGCTGCATTAATTTCTAATCTTACTTGTAAAAACTGTCAGATCCTATCGTGAAACTTAATTATATTTTCTACAGAATCAGAATCAGCTTTATTGGCCAGGATTGTGTGAAGAAGCACGGAATCTGACTTCAGATTATGTTGAAGCGAGATTGTACACAACATGTGGAGACCACGTCCATGGCAAATGATGCATGGAGGTGTTGGCATCATGATTTTAGATGCTTTGCTGCAGCAGGACTTGATCAGCTCATCATTGAATCCACCATGAATCCTGC